TATATATATATATATATATTTTCATTTAGATTTATGGTACATAATATTTGATGGTGATGAGACAGAAGGATAAAGAGTCGTCCTTTATTCTTAAGAAACAATTGATTAGAACCACTCTGGGTGGCCAAGGGATGATGAACCAAATGGAGAGAGTGAAAGGGCAAAGAAAGTAATTAAAAAAAAAATGATTTTGGTAAAAACAATGCATCATCTCCTTACAGGAAAAAGACCTTTTGGGTTTATCTCCAGCTCTAACAAACTACATCAGGCTCCATTTCCCCATTTCTCAGGTCTTCCAACAACTTGGCTGCACTTCCCATCCTCACAAAAAGTAGCCATCAGTACACTATCTATAACCATTGGGTTTACACCCCAATATCAGACCATATTTCCTCTATTCAACCAAACCATCTTAACAGCATCACAGCATCAATTCAGTTAAATCATTTCATTTTATAGGTAGGAATTTCCTACAACAGTACTTTTCTATCTATTTATTCAAACAATAAACTTGTACACTTTCTACTACATTTTCCTTATCTCACTCATTGCCGCTCGGGTAGTGAAAATTCCTCCCACTAAATTGGTATGATTTAGCAGTAGGAGTTTAAAAAAAAAACAAAAAAAAACAGATTGAGGTTGCATGGTGGGTCTATCATCGATCTAATGTTCTCGAGTCTAAGTGCATTATATCCAAATCAGTCTAGCTAGCTAAATACATTATGACAGAAGGTATCCAACTGGATCAGAGTTCCCAGAACTACCGGTGGAACTTAACAGACACGCGATAAGAACCTCCACTTAACGGGGTCAACGTGAACATAATATCCCAAAACGGGAAGAAGGGAAAGGAATAGATAACCAGCTGTACATATCTAAAGATGAACAATGGTTGAAGAAAAAAATGTGTATACTCCAAAAGTTGTTGTTCAGGGTTCTTCCTTCACAAAGTAACTCTGAGGCAAGGAAAATTCTTCTTCGTGAGTAAGCAAATCAATCTCATCATCATCTGTTTTCTGAGGAAAAAAGATAAACCACTATATTTTATGAGCTCTCAAAATCCATACCACAAACCCACGTCTTATTTGAGGGGTAGCAAGATGAATGGGAAGAACCACAACTTAATGATAACATACCAGCATTTCTATGTTGTAGAATCGATCCAACAATTGAAGAACCTCCTCGGCAGAAAAGTGTCTGTCAAACTTCCTCTTTAAAAATTCCATCAGACCATAAAGGACAAAGTGGCGATGTATTCCTTCGTGAAAGCAACATGAATTGTAAGCATTAAATTTGATGAATCTTGATCCAACTAGACTTAACTATTTAACAAGGGAAAACTATATAGATAAAGAGCGCATCCAAGACCCACCTTGGCATAAACCTTGATAAAAATAAGAAATGCAAAGTATCAAATAACAGCTAAACAAGCAACAATTACATATAATGGGTTCATAAATGAAACTCAAGAAAGTGCAATTCAGTTATCGCTACAAATGCTTACTGTTTTTACTCGAAAGGTTAGTGCAAATACTTGACAAAAGTTTCTCAATCAATGCTAGAAAACAATTTATTTTTAACCATATTACTTGTTATATAGTGTTCAAATCTAACCAGATATCACTTACTGCAGAAACGGACAAAATTTTACATTTTCTCAATTACGAAATGTCAAAGTAAACAGTACCACCACGGAGCTTAATGCAGTATACTTGGCCTGAATTCTATTAACACAAAGCATCTTTTCTTTGCGATCCCCTTTCCAGATAATAAATGTCTTAGTAAAGGAATCATGCTCAAGATACAGAAATCACTCATTATTTAATTTAAAACTAGTATCAGTATTATTAAAAAGGATTTCATGTATATAAAAATATATTGTAAATCAACTGTCAAGCACTCAAAATATATGCATTCTATAAATAAAAACAAATATATAAGTATCTTATCCTGGAACAGCACAGAAAAGACAGTTTGAAGTTGTAATATAACTGAAATAAATTTTTATTGTTTAAAATAACGTCACGTGCTATAGATTTTTACTGAATAAAAAATAACTTATAAAAGGAGTAATAGAAAATAAGGCCATTACCCTTGATCTCATTAATCTATTACTTAGATAAACTGAAAATTGTGTAACCAAATTGCAACTTCGGCAGTTCTTGTAAAAACTATATGTACCAAAATATATCTTAATCAATTTTAGGAATCATTTATAAGGGCTTAAATAGAGAAAATAACCCTCTCCCCAAAGGAAAAAACAATTCTAACTAAAATCCCACTTACTAGGAAGTGACATAATGCCAAATTCCATGATTGGGCAGTTGGTACTATATTCCACAAACTGTAAAGTACCAACTTCTATTGGGGACACGAAAGTGTAGATATCAAACATCTACTAACGTTGCAACTTCAATTGTTTTCTTTCTAGTCAGACAACATTACTAATTATGCATTGGTATTTTTTCAGTTCAAAACAACAAATTGTATTTTACATTCACTTTCATATTTAATTAGAGAAAATAGGCTATGTACTGATAGTGTAAAGCATATTTATACTAACATTCAATTGACAAACCACCATGTATGGTAAGTTTGTTGACTTTTACAAGAACTACCTTAAAAGCCATACCAACAATGATTGGTTGGCTGACAGTGTAAAACATTTATACTGACAGTCCATAGTCATTAAACTCATTTAATTACACATAATTTTGCACCCACATTTCATTTTGGAAAAGAAAAACATTATTTTTCCTTTTCACTAATCAATACCAAAATTTTTATATCAAAATCATTCACAATCCTCAAAGAATTATGTGTGCATGTGCATGTATGCACACATGCATGTGTACTACCTTGTAGCCTCATTGGAGGGTAAATCTCAAGAGCTTCCAACAATCTCAGCTCCAATTCAACCTGTGATTGCTCCTGTCACCATAACCAGATGTCAATTCCAAACCAAATTCAAATTTCAAAGAGAGACAGAGGGACAGAGACCTTGGGTAGAGAGGAAGCAGAGGAAGGGGGAGGTTTGCAAGGAGAGTGGACGGACATGCCATCTTGTTCCTCCTCTTTGGGTTTACCAGCTCTTCCACCACTGCTCATTTGTGTCTTTATATACTGATCACAACACAGATTACATGAAGATAGGAATATCTCAGATTGAAACTGCAGGAAATGGAAATAAAAGGTTGGAACGAGAACATAATTCATAACTACAAAAAGGCAGTTGGACAGCGCCAATCATTATGACATTGCAGCCTGTGCATTCACGTAGTGTAGCAGGATAGCATGAACAAGTTATTAATATTTCAAGCTTAGTAGTTGTTAAGTTCTTAATTGTGTGGGTAACCAAAGCTAATTAATATGGCAGAATCGGCACAGCACATGTTAAACTGAGGAATATGCAATTTGTTCACTCTATTGCTTACAATCTGGCAATATGGCAGAACCGGTAGAGCACATCTTGAAATGAGGAATTTGCAATTTTTTCACTCCATTGCTTGCAATCTGGCATACATTTTTAGAATGACAAAATTGGCACACATCGTATTCGCTGTTCTATGCGTTTCACCAACTGGAATAATATTCATCACTTTTTTTATAAGTGCAGAACTCACTACAGCATCTCAAAATAAAATTGGTAGAATCCAACCCCATGTCAGTTACAATCAAAGGCAAGAAAGAAAAGTGAACCAAAATAATTGAATTGTACAAAATGTCATGCACTGTAGGATAAATTGTAACGGACACGCACAATGAACCACAGGCTCTTCCCAGTTTTGTTTGACCAGAAAGAAGAATGTATTATCTAAAATATGGGAAACTGATTCCATTGGACAAAGGGATTAACCTAACCAAAAGTATATATATTATGTATTTTGCTCTAACAGTCCAAATGGGGTCAACATTTGACATGTATCAATCATTACACATATCAACAGCAAATAACCACCGCTTGTCAAGCCAGGTGGCAGTGTATAGGCATAGTTTTTGGAAGCATTATTGGTGCTAAATTTGCCATGGTGTATTACATCATTATTACAGCACAATGGTCTGTGATCGTCATTGTGAATGCGATTTCCGCCACAACGTCAAGGCTTTTGGACTGCAATTGCAATCACAACAACAACCGTATTTCTCCACAATTTTCTACAACAACAAGAATCCCAAAGAAAACGCGCACCCATAGTGGAAAACCTCACTTACAAGTGTGATCAACTTCTCAAATATCACAGTTACCCTTTATTTTGCAGAAAAGGGAATTAATTTTAAAAAAAAAACAGAAAAGAAAAACAGACAGAAGAAGCAAGAAGAAGAAGAATAGCAGTAGCAGCAGGAATGAGGAGCAAGAAAAGATTAATTTGAAGGAAAAAGACTGTAACTTGAACGAAGGAGAAGGGCGTAATCTTACCAATTGATGACTGGGCTTGGCACGAAACGCTGGGTGAAGAAATTGAAGAAAGCATA